GAGACTAACCTGGCCTTACCAAGGAGGGACAGGAGACTAACCTGGCCTTACCAAGGAGGGACAGGAGACTAACCTGGCCTTACCAAGGAGTGACAGGAGACTAACCTGGCCTTACCAAGGAGGGACAGGAGACTAACCTGGCCTTACCAAGGAGGGACAGGAGACTAACCTGGCCTTACCAAGGAGTGACAGGAGACTAACCTGGCCTTACCAAGGAGGGACAGGAGACTAACCTGGCCTTACCAAGGAGTGACAGGAGACTAACCTGGCCTTACCAAGGAGGGACAGGTGACTAACTGGCCTTACCAAGGAGGGACAGGTGACTAACCTGGCCTTACCAAGGAGTGACAGGAGACTAACCTGGCCTTACCAAGGAGGTACAGGCGACTAACCTGGCCTTACCAAGGAGGGACAGGTGACTAACCTGGCCTTACCAAGGAGGGACAGGAGACTAACCTGGCCTTACCAAGGAGGGACAGGAGACTAACCTGGCCTTACCAAGGAGGGACAGGTGACTAACCTGGCCTTACCAAGGAGTGACAGGAGACTAACCTGGCCTTACCAAGGAGTGACAAGAGACTAACCTGGCCTTACCAAGGAGTGACAGGAGACTAACCTGGCCTTACCAAGGAATGACAGGAGACTAACCTGGCCTTACCAAGGAGGTACAGGCGACTAACCTGCCCTTACCAAGGAGTGACAGGAGACTAGCCTGGCCTTACCAAGGAGTGACAGGAGACTAACGTGGCCTTACCAAGGAGTGACAGGAGACTAACCTGGCCTTACCAAGGAGTGACAGGAGACTAACCTGGCCTTAACAAGGAGTGACAGGAGACTAACCTGGCCTTACCAAGGAGTGACAAGAGACTAACCTGGCCTTACCAAGGAGGGGCAGGAGACTAACCTGGCCTTACCAAGGAGGGACAGGAGACTAACCTGGCCTTACCAAGGAGTGACAGGCGACTAACCTGGCCTTACCAAGGAGTGACAGGAGACTAACCTGGCCTTACCAAGGAGTGACAGGAGACTAACCTGGCCTTACCAAGGAGGGACAGGAGACTAACCTGGCCTTACCAAGGAGTGACAGGAGACTAACCTGGCCTTACCAAGGCGGGACAGGCGACTAACCTGGCCTTACCAAGGAGGGACAGGTGACTAACCTGGCCTTACCAAGGAGGGACAGGAGACTAACCTGGCCTTACCAAGGAGTGACAGGTGACTAACCTGGCCTTACCAAGGAGTGACAGGAGACTAACCTGGCCTTACCAAGGAGTGACAGGAGACTAACCTGGCCTTACCAAGGAGGGACAGGAGACTAACCTGGCCTTACCAAGGAGGGACAGGAGACTCACCTGGCCTTACCAAGGAGTGACAGGAGACTAACCTGGCCTTACCAAGGAGTGACAGGAGACTAACCTGGCCTTACCAAGGAGGGACAGGAGACTAACCTGGCCTTACCAAGGAGTGACAGGAGACTAACCTGGCCTTACCAAGGAGGTACAGGCGACTAACCTGGCCTTACCAAGGAGGGACAGGTGACTAACCTGGCCTTACCAAGGAGGGACAGGAGACTAACCTGGCCTTACCAAGGAGTGACAGGAGACTAACCTGGCCTTACCAAGGAGGTACAGGCGACTAACCTGGCCTTACCAAGGAGGGACAGGTGACTAACCTGGCCTTACCAAGAAGGGACAGGAGACTAACCTGGCCTTACCAAGGAGGGACAGGAGACTAACCTGGCCTTACCAAGGAGGGACAGGAGACTAACCTGGCCTTACCAAGGAGGGACAGGAGACTAACCTGGCCTTACCAAGGAGGGACAGGAGACTAACCTGGCCTTACCAAGGAGGGACAGGAGACTAACCTGGCCTTACCAAGGAGGGACAGGAGACTAACCTGGCCTTACCAAGGAGGGACAGGAGACTAACCTGGCCTTACCAAGGAGTGACAGGAGACTAACCTGGCCTTACCAAGGAGTGACAGGAGACTAACCTGGCCTTACCAAGGAGTGACAGGAGACTAACCTGGCCTTACCAAGGAGTGACAGGAGACTAACCTGGCCTTACCAAGGAGGGACAGGAGACTAACCTGGCCTTACCAAGGAGTGACAGGAGACTAACCTGGCCTTACCAAGGAGGGACAGGAGACTAACCTGGCCTTACCAAGGAGGGACAGGAGACTAACCTGGCCTTACCAAGGAGTGACAGGAGACTAACCTGGCCTTACCAAGGAGGGACAGGAGACTAACCTAGCCTTACCAAGGAGGGACAGGAGACTAACCTGGCCTTACCAAGGAGTGACAGGAGACTAACCTGGCCTTACCAAGGAGGGACAGGAGACTAACCTGGCCTTACCAAGGAGTGACAGGAGACTAACCTGGCCTTACCAAGGAGGGACAGGTGACTAACCTGGCCTTACCAAGGAGGGACAGGTGACTAACCTGGCCTTACCAAGGAGTGACAGGAGACTAACCTGGCCTTACCAAGGAGTGACAGGAGACTAACCTGGCCTTACCAAGGAGGGACAGGAGACTAACCTGGCCTTACCAAGGAGTGACAGGAGACTAACCTGGCCTTACCAAGGAGGTACAGGCGACTAACCTGGCCTTACCAAGGAGGGACAGGTGACTAACCTGGCCTTACCAAGGAGGGACAGGAGACTAACCTGGCCTTACCAAGGAGTGACAGGAGACTAACCTGGCCTTACCAAGGAGGTACAGGCGACTAACCTGGCCTTACCAAGGAGGGACAGGTGACTAACCTGGCCTTACCAAGGAGGGACAGGAGACTAACCTGGCCTTACCAAGGAGGGACAGGAGACTAACCTGGCCTTACCAAGGAGGGACAGGAGACTAACCTGGCCTTACCAAGGAGGGACAGGAGACTAACCTGGCCTTACCAAGGAGGGACAGGAGACTAACCTGGCCTTACCAAGGAGGGACAGGAGACTAACCTGGCCTTACCAAGGAGGGACAGGAGACTAACCTGGCCTTACCAAGGAGGGACAGGAGACTAACCTGGCCTTACCAAGGAGTGACAGGAGACTAACCTGGCCTTACCAAGGAGTGACAGGAGACTAACCTGGCCTTACCAAGGAGTGACAGGAGACTAACCTGGCCTTACCAAGGAGTGACAGGAGACTAACCTGGCCTTACCAAGGAGGGACAGGAGACTAACCTGGCCTTACCAAGGAGTGACAGGAGACTAACCTGGCCTTACCAAGGAGGGACAGGAGACTAACCTGGCCTTACCAAGGAGGGACAGGAGACTAACCTGGCCTTACCAAGGAGTGACAGGAGACTAACCTGGCCTTACCAAGGAGGGACAGGAGACTAACCTGGCCTTACCAAGGAGGGACAGGCGACTAACCTGGCCTTACCAAGGAGTGACAGGAGACTAACCTGGCCTTACCAAGGAGGGACAGGAGACTAACCTGGCCTTACCAAGGAGTGACAGGAGACTAACCTGGCCTTACCAAGGAGTGACAGGAGACTAACCTGGCCTTACCAAGGAGTGACAGGAGACTAACCTGGCCTTACCAAGGAGGGACAGGAGACTAACCTGGCCTTACCAAGGAGTGACAGGAGACTAACCTGGCCTTACCAAGGCGGGACAGGCGACTAACCTGGCCTTACCAAGGAGTGACAGGAGACTAACCTGGCCTTACCAAGGAGTGACAGGAGACTAACCTGGCCTTACCAAGGAGGAACAGGCGACTAACCTGGCCTTACCAAGGAGGGACAGGAGACTAACCTGGCCTTACCAAGGAATGACAGGAGACTAACCTGGCCTTACCAAGGAGTGACAGGAGACTAACCTGGCCTTACCAAGGAGTGACAGGAGACTAACCTGGCCTTACCAAGGAGGGACAGGCGACTAACCTGGCCTTACCAAGGAGTGACAGGTGACTAACCTGGCCTTACCAAGGAGGGACAGGAGACTAACCTGGCCTTGCCAAGGAGTGAGAGGAGACTATCCTGGCCTTACCAAGGAGAGACAGGCGACTAACCTGGCCTTACCAAGGAGTGACAGGAGACTAACCTGGCCTTACCAAGGAGTGACAGGAGACTAACCTGGCCTTACCAAGGAGAGACAGGCGACTAACCTGGCCTTACCAAGGAGTGACAGGAGACAAACCTGGCCTTACCAAGGAGGGACAGGAGACTAACCTGGCCTTACCAAGGAGTGACAGGAGACTAACCTGGCCTTACCAAGGAGAGACAGGCGACTAACCTGGCCTTACGAAGGAGGGACAGGCGACTAACCTGGCCTTACCAAGGAGGGACAGGAGACTAACCTGGCCTTACCAAGGAGTGACAGGAGACTAACCTGGCCTTACCAAGGAGGGACAGGAGACTAACCTGGCCTTACCAAGGAGGGACAGGAGAGTAACCTGGCCTTACCAAGGAGTGACAGGAGACTAACCTGGCCTTACCAAGGAGGGACAGGAGACTAACCTGGCCTTACCAAGGAGGGACAGGAGACTAACCTGGCCTTACCAAGGAGTGACAGGAGACTAACCTGGCCTTACTAAGGAGTGACAGGAGACTAACCTGGCCTTACCAAGGAGTGACAGGAGACTAACCTGGCCTTACCAAGGAGTGACAGGAGACTAACCTGGCCTTACCAAGGAGTGACAGGAGACTAACCTGGCCTTATCAAGGAGGGACAGGCGACTAACCTGGCCTTACCAAGGAGGGACAGGAGACTAACCTGGCCTTACCAAGGAGGGACAGGAGACTAACCTGGCCTTACCAAGGAGGGACAGGTGACTAACCTGGCCTTACCAAGGAGGGACAGGCGACTAACCTGGCCTTACCAAGGAGGGACAGGAGACTAACCTGGCCTTACCAAGGAGTGACAGGAGACTAACCTGGCCTTACCAAGGAGGGACAGGAGACTAACCTGGCCTTACCAAGGAGTGACAGGAGACTAACCTGGCCTTACCAAGGAGGGACAGGCGACTAACCTGGCCTTACCAAGGAGGGACAGGCGACTAACCTGGTTGGAATCCTCACTGAAGAGTCTGTCAAAGACGAACTGTTTGTCCGTCTTTCTGTTCTGTCGGAGATGATCGTTTCTGTCTGTCTCCTGCTCCTGCATCATCAGCATCTGTGGGACAGGAGAGGGAACTATGAGTGGACATGTTGATGAGAGGGCAACATGTCGCAGCATCTGTGGGACAGGAGAGGGAACTATGAGTGGACATGTTGATGAGAGGGCAACATGTCGCAACATCTGTGGGACAGGAGAGGGAACTCTCAACTTGCGTGTTGCTGAGAGAGAAAAGTGACCCGTGGCCTTCACAAGACAGAATGGTAAGCTGGTGAGGGCAATTAACTCACTCCTTGATCATTGGTGGATGAGGTAATTGCCACAATACACTTGCCATCTATTACACTGCAATTTCTAGTTACTCCACCACATCTACGCCAACGACGTACATTTATCATCAACCACGTCATATAAACATAGTAACATCGGCACCATACCAGACGCTGCCAGTCATTAGAACGCCTTTAAGAAATTGTTTCCACTCCACTGCAACGCGGGTCTGGTAACTGCACGCTGTGAAGCACAGCACCAAACTTGAACATTACAGCGGTCTGTAACAAGATTATTGCAAGAAATAAGATAGTTAAGCTATGAGGATAGGTTATAAGGGAAGTAGGTCTCTTAACCCTCGAGGACAGAAGAAACAGAGGATATGATCACAATATACAAGATACTGGAGATAATAGACAATGTAGACAAAGAAAATATCTTTAAATTAAGAAAAAGAAATATGAGAGGAGATAAGTTGAAGCTGGAGGCCCCAATAAGTGGAGGAAAATATCCACAACTATATGGAATAATTAGCAACCCCTCACACATAAAATAATATCATCTAACCTATTACGAGAATTATCCCTTTATACACAAACAAATCATTATATAATCAGACTGTCTATACTGTCTCCGAGAGACGGAAACAGACGGTCAGGACGTCACAATAGCCACAAACATCATTTTGATTACACATTTAAATGGTCCTTTAATGTTTATAAGATTAGTTCACTAAAGACTAGTCAAACAAAGCATTGGTGGTTTATATTCTTTATTAACACTCTTGATTACCTGTAGTAATGACTGAACCCTAGAGCCTCCCGTGTGTGAGGTGTAGTAATGACTGAACCCTAGAGCCTCCCGTGTGTGAGGTGTAGTAATGACTGAACCCTAGAGCCTCCCGTGTGTGTGAGGTGTAGTAATGACTGAACCCTAGAGCCTCCCGTGTGTGGGGTGTAGTAATGACTGAACCCTAGAGCCTCCCGTGTGTGGGGTGTAGTAATGACTGAACCCTAGAGCCTCCCGTGTGTGAGGTGTAGTAATGACTGAACCCTAGAGCCTCCCGTGTGTGTGAGGTGTAGTAATGACTGAACCCTAGAGCCTCCCGTGTGTGTGAGGTGTAGTAATGACTGAACCCTAGAGCCTCCCGTGTGTGAGGTGTAGTAATGACTGAACCCTAGAGCCTCCCGTGTGTGGGGTGTAGTAATGACTGAACCCTAGAGCCTCCCGTGTGTGGGGTGTAGTAATGACTGAACCCTAGAGCCTCCCGTGTGTGGGGTGTAGTAATGACTGAACCCTAGAGCCTCCCGTGTGTGTGAGGTGTAGTAATGACTGAACCCTAGAGCCTCCCGTGTGTGTGAGGTGTAGTAATGACTGAACCCTAGAGCCTCCCGTGTGTGGGGTGTAGTAATGACTGAACCCTAGAGCCTCCCGTGTGTGGGGTGTAGTAATGACTGAACCCTAGAGCCTCCCGTGTGTGTGAGGTGTAGTAATGACTGAACCCTAGAGCCTCCCGTGTGTGAGGTGTAGTAATGACTGAACCCTAGAGCCTCCCGTGTGTGGGGTGTAGTAATGACTGAACCCTAGAGCCTCCCGTGTGTGGGGTGTAGTAATGACTGAACCCTAGAGCCACCCACATGTGGGGTGTCCACACACTGTTGGGTCACCCGCCAGTGTTGACACTGAGACACCTCCAGTGTACTGGTTCAACTGTTGGTGCTAGTGGTTCCACGCCCTCCAGTGTACTGGTTCAACTGTTGGTGCCAGTGGTTCTACCCCCTCCAGTGTACTGGTTCAACTATTGGTACTAGTGGTTCCACCCCCTCCAGTACTCACCTAGTTGTACTTGCGGGGGTTGAGCTCTGGCTCTTTGGTCCCGCCTCTCAACCGTCAATCAACAGGTGTACAGGTTCCTGAGCCTATTGGGCTCTATCATATCTACACTTGAAACTGTGTATGGAGTCAGCCTCCACCACATTGCTTCCTAATGCATTCCATTTGTCAACCACTCTGACACTAAAAAAGTTCTTTCTAATATCTCTGTGGCTCATTTGGGCACTCAGTTTCAACCTGTGTCCCCTAGTGCGTGTGCCCCTTGTGTTAAATAGCCTGTCTTTATCAACCCTGTCGATTCCCTTGAGAATCTTGAATGTGGTGATCATGTCCCCCCTAACTCTTCTGTCTTCCAACGAAGTGAGGTTCAATTCCCGTAGTCTCTCCTCGTAGCTCATACCTCTCAGCTCGGGTACTAGTCTGGTGGCAAACCTTTGAACCTTTTCCAGTTTAGTCTTATGCTTGACTAGATATGGACTCCATGCTGGAGCCGCATACTCCAGGATTGGTCTGACATATGTGGTATATAATGTTCTGATAGATTCCTTACACAAGTTTCTAAAGGCCGTTCTTATGTTAGCCAACCTGGCATATGCTGCTGATGTTATCCTCTTGATATGAGCTTCAGGGGACAGGTCTGGCGTGATATCAACCCCCAGGTCTTTCTCTCTCTCTGACTCTTGAAGTATTTCATCTCCCAAGTGATACCTTGTATCTGGTCTCCTGCTTCCTACCCCTATCTTCATTACATTACATTTGCTTGGGTTAAACTCTAACATCCATTTGTTCGACCATTCCTGCAGCTTGTCCAGGTCTTCTTGAAGCCTCAAGCTGTCCTCCTCTGTCTTAATCCTTCTCATAATTTTTGCGTCGTCAGCAAACATTGAAAGGAATGAGTCTATACCCTCTGGGAGATCATTTACGTATATCAGAAACAGGATAGGTCCAAGCACAGAGCCCTGTGGGACTCCACTGGTGACTTCACGCCATTCTGAGGTCTCACCCCTCACTGTAACTCTCTGCTTCCTATTGCTTAGGTACTCCCTTATCCACTGGAGCGCCCTACCAGTTACTCCTGCCTGTTTCTCCAGCTTATGCATCAACCTTTTATGGGGTACTGTGTCAAAGGCTTTCCGACAGTCAAAAAAAATGCAGTCCGCCCATCCTTCTCTTTCTTGCTTAATCTTTGTCACCTGATCATAGAATTCTATCAAGCCTGTAAGGCAAGATTTACCCTCCCTGAACCCATGTTGATGGGTTGTCACGAAGTCTCTTCTCTCCAGATGTGTTACTAGGTTTTTTCTCACAATCTTCTCCATCACCTTGCATGGTATACAAGTTAAGGACACTGGCCTGTAGTTCAGTGCCTCTTGTCTGTCACCCCTTTTTAAATATTGGTACTACATTAGCAGTCTTCCATACTTCTGGTAGGTCTCCCGTTTCCAGTGACCTACTATACACTATGGAGAGTGGCAAGCAAAGTGCTCCTGCACACTCTTTCAATACCCATGGTGAGATTCCATCCGGCCCAACAGCTTTTCTCACATCCAGCTCCAATAGGTGCTTCTTGACCTCATCTCTTGTAATTTCGAACCTTTCCAAGGTCACCTGGTTTGCTGCCACCTCTCCTAGCGCCGTGACTTCTCCCTGTTCTATTGTAAAGACCTCCTGGAACCTTTTGTTGAGTTCTTCACACACCTCTTTGTCATTCTCTGTGTACCTGTCCTCGCCCACCCTAAGTTTCATCACCTGTTCCTTCACTGTTGTCTTCCTCCTGATGTGACTGTGTAGTAGCTTTAGTTCGGTCTTGGCTTTATTAGCTATATCATTTTCATATCTTTTCTCAGCTGCTCTTCTCACACTAACATACTCGTTCCTGGTTCTCTGGTATCTCTCTCTACTTTCTAGTGTTCTGTTATTACGGAAGTTCCTCCATGCTTTTTTGTTCAGCTCCTTTGCTTTCATACATTCCCTATTAAACCACGGATTCTTCCTTTGCTTCTCTGTTTTTTCCTGTTGGGCTGGGACAAACCTGCTTACAGCCTCCTGACATTTTTGGGTGACATAGTCCATCATGTCTTGTACGGACTTGGTTCCAAGTTCTGTGTCCCAATGTATATCCCATAGGAATTTATTCATCTCCTCATAGTTTCCCTTTCGGTACGCCAGCCCTTTGTTTCCCAGTTCCAGTGTACGGGTTCAACTGTTGGTACTAGTGGTTCTACCCCCTCCAGTGTACTGGTTCAACTGTTGGTACTAGTGGTTCCACCCCCTCCAGTGTACTGGTTCAACTGTTGGTACTAGTGGTTCCACCCCCTCCAGTGTATTGGTTCAACTGTTGGTGCCAGTGGTTCTACCCCCTCCAGTGTACTGGTTCAACTGTTGGTGCTAGTGGTTCCACGCCCTCCAGTGTACTGGTTCAACTGTTGGTGCTAGTGGTTCTACCCCCTCCAGTGTACTGGTTCAACTGTTGGTGCTAGTGGTTCTACCCCCTCCAGTGTACTGGTTCAACTGTTGGTGTTAGTGGTTCCACGCCCTCCAGTGTACTGGTTCAACTGTTGGTGTCAGTGGTTCCACCCCCTCCAGTGTACTGGTTCAACTGTTGGTGCTAGTGGTTCCACCCCCTCCAGTGTACTGGTTCAACTGTTGGTGTCAGTGGTTCCACCCCCTCCAGTGTACTGGTTCAACTGTTGGTGCTAGTGGTTCCACCCCCTCCAGTACCTTGAGGTTTACCTATGTCTCAGTTACACTACAGCTTCCCAGCTGAGGCTTGACTTTACTGATACTAACTCAAGATTGTGGTATCCAGCAGGTTTACCATAAAGTATACTTCAGTGCACGTGTAGACCTCCTGTACGGGGTCACCACGTTGAATACTCTGAGAGAACAAGTTGTCAACCCCGTCCGCATCCACAACTTTATGGCCAGATTCAATAAAGGTCTCTCATTATACC